TCAAACATCTGTTTGTATGAGTAGGTTTTCTATGTAGCAAAGCTTCGAATTGTTTTTATTTTTTCTTAATTAGTATATCGAGAAACGGAATTTGGTTGTTTCGTTCTCTTTACGAATGTAATTGTTGGTTTTTTGTTGTTCAGGTATGAAAAAAATTAGCCAAGTTTTTGTTCCCAATGAGTATAAATTGAAAACATTAGAAGAACTTAGAAGAAGACGTGAGGAAATTCTGTCTTTTTAAAGGCCAAAATTTTAAGGCAAAATACTTAGCGAAAAAGTTATGAACAAAAATATTGAGAGAATGACTTGAAGAGATAACGTAAAGTTCACATATGAAGGGTACTACTTTTTGAAAACGATTTGAAGAACAATGAAATTCGTCCGAAAGTATATGCAAATGGACAAACGTAACAGTCGTAAGAATTAACGGCCAATTAATCAAACAAGTTCTTATAAGACGGATAATGAGTTCACCTTACATCTAGAGATCATTCAAGTAATTTGGCACAAAAAGTAAATTCCAATCAAAAGTGTAACTTATTAGTTACAGTTCCAAACTATTAATTCCTATTTTGTCTCTTTCTCAGTATTATTTAATATACTTTTTCTGATTATCTCCGGGTAACATATTTTTACAATTTCTTGTTTCCAAAAAAATTTTGATTTTCTGTACAGTAACAGTTTTATTTTAATGTGTCTTAATTCATTTGTATGCTTTTTCAGAAGCGACTTCAATGATCATCCAATATGGTAGATTCTTTTTAGGTTGCAAGATTCCAGAGCTGCATAATTTGTATATACGTTTCTATTTAAAATTATCGCAAAAATTGAATACAGAAGTCTACCTACTTATTTAAGTTATACAGAAAATCATAAAAATCTCAGAATTTTCAATATTGTTTTTATTTTCTAAGAGTTTGACCTCCTATGCTGGTTTCCTCAAGTCACATGTCTTTAAAATTTAATGCATCTACTTGCAAGTCCGCTTGAAAGTCACTAATTTATTTCATTTGCTTCATGCGTTTTTGAATAAATTTTATCGTCTTTGATAACCACTTTTAGGCAAGATTTTCTTAATTTTATCTAATGATTCAAAACAATCACCAAACTTTTTTGCAATATGCAGCACGAAATTAATTCCAGAATTATAATAAAATGATCAAAGAAATTAGGTTCCATCATAAGATTATCAGAAGGCAATGAGCGAGTAATATTGAGAGTATGGTTGCGAAAGTAACGAGTTTCTTAAGTTCAATCCGAACTATATAGTTTCAAAATCACCAGCTTGAAATTACCGCTCAATCTCAAGAATAATTCACGCAATTTGTCCAACCGGCTTAAATAGAAACATTATTTCTGAACAATTCGTTCGTTTATGCTTTACTATATCTTTGATCTATTTTGTCGGCAGCTTTACCAAACCGATTTAGGGTTGTATTTTTTGATTTAAGTATATTATTTATATGTACCAAATTAGCATTTATTTTTCCATTTCACCCAAATTCAGTTCAGTATTGCGAATCGTCAGCATCTTGATATTTCATTCACAATGATACAAATAATGTAAATAAGGAATTTTTATCTTCTCTCTTCGCACATGTGTTAAATGGCTCAAATACATACGAGAGTTAAACTT